CGCTAAGTGGCGGTGACGTCGCTATGGCGCTTGTGCCAGGCTAGCTGCACTTTAAGGCTACGTGAAGTGTCGAACGCCCACTGGCAGGAGATCACGGGACACACCCAGGTGCCATGGGTCGACTTACTGAGATGATGGGTAAATGCACCACCTGTGCCCCGAACTGTTTTATCCACCCGGCGCTCCGATCGTTGTTGTGAGCGTCGCTCCTCTGCCCTCCGTTGTTGTTGGAGGGCGACTGCCTCAAACTGCCCACTAGTGTTCTTCACGAGCCTCCTCCACAGAGGCCAATCTTGACAATTGGCATCACACACACACAACAGCTACAGCAGTAGCAACATCACCAATCACTGTGAAAACTAGGCAGGAACCCACGTCCTCAAAAATTATTGAGACTCAGTGAGGCTTTCCTGGGTAGGACATGCAGAATAAATAAATACTCAAAAAACCCAAAACACAGAGTGCAGCACTCCACACAACGGACACCAACGTGAAAAACACGGCTCACCAACACGGCATACCAACACGGCGAACCAACACAGCTCACCAACACCACTCACCAACACAGCTTACCAGCGCAGTTTACAGCCAACGTGGTGGGAGAGCGCACAGCGACAGACCGCGCGCAGGGCCGGTAGACCTGGGGCCGACCCCACAAGCGCCACGGCCTTCAATTCGCCACCACCACCCATCGGGGACATTCTCACTACAAGCGTGGGGAGAGGGGGAGGTGACGCCGTGTCCCATCTCACCGGCACTTCACTGCATCCTCACAGAGCGGCCTGCCCCCGAGTGTGCCATGGACATCGCCGCGTTCGTGCGTTCGTGCGTTCGTGCGTGCGTTCGTGCGTGAGTGAGCGTGTGCGTGAATGAGTGTGTGCTTGAGTGAGTGCCTGAGTGTGTGAGTGCGTGAGTGAGTAAATACGTGAGTGAGTGCGTGCGGGAATGAGTGCGCGCGTGAGTAAGTGCGCGAGTGAGTGAGTGCATGCGTGAGTGCGTGCGTGAGTGCGTGCGTGCGTGAGTGTTTGCGTGAGTGTTTGCGTGAGTGCGTGCATGAGTGAGTGCGTGCGTGTGTGTGTGCGTGAGTGAGTGAGTGAGTGCGTGCATCAGTGTGTGCGTGAGTGAGTGTGTGAGTGGGTGAGTGAGTGCGTGAGTGTGTTAGTGAGTGAATGCGTTAGTGAGTGTGTTAGTAAGTGAGTGTGTAAGTGAGTGTGTGCTGTATCGTACCATCCGGGCAGGGCTGAGCGTTACCAGTGTAGCAGCAGCGGCAACGTTTAGTGTCACCTTCACCACCAATGGAGCCGAGTAAAAACACGCCCAGCCAGGTGCAGACCGCCACCGCTCGGGGCAGGCAAACAGGAGTTTCTAGTGGAGAATTAAAGCGCGCTCTCACCCCCCCTGCCTCCCCTTCAACACACGATTGACATTTGGGATAATTGACCCAACGATTCAGTAAGCTACTCAAATAACAAAGCCGTGTGTACATACACGGGCGGCGCGGGATAGGTCACGGGAGTCCGCCACAGCGGGTCCCAGAGAGGTGCGCGGGCGACGTCTTTGAATTTGCTGCGTGGCAACGTCGCGAGAGTTCCGCCCATCGCTGGATCTCCCGCAACGCCGCCGCCCTAAAACCTCGGCCTCAGTGCTGGGTTGGTGGTGGTGAGCGGGGCTGAAACCCCGGCCCCAGTGCTGGGTTGGTGGTGGTGAGCGGGGCTGAGACCCCAGCCCTAGTGCTGGGTTGGTGGTGGTGAGCGGGGTTGAGACCCCAGCCCCAGTGCTGGGTTGGTGGTGGTGAGCGGGGCTGATCCCCCAGCCCCAGTGCTGGGTTGGTGGTGGTGAGCGGGGCTGAAACCCCGGCCCCAGTGCTGGGTTGGTGGTGGTGAGCGGGACTGAGACCCCAGCCCTAGTGCTGGGTTGGTGGTGGTGAGCGCCGTGCAAGGGGTCGCCGTAGGATTGCGGTAGGGCTACGTTGCGGGCGGCGCAAGCCGAATCAGCCGTTGCACTGCATCTCTATGGCTCCCGTATCTGATGCTCCCACCCACCTTCACCAAACCCGCACCAACCGTGGTTACGGTGAAGTATGGTCAAACAACCCCCCACCACGACCGCGGCGACGTCGGTAGGCCGTCATCCAGCAGAGGACTGACAAAGGAACTATGAAATTAGACGTTGTTGTTATTATTTTAAAGCGTAACTTTCAAATAAAATAGCAGCAGAGTTCATTATTTTGTAATAAAAGCCCCGGTGAGAGCGTCCAGACCATTGTGTATCGAGAGGGTGGCTGCATTGCGAGGTTCCGCCTGTTTCCACCCTGGGCACGTTGAGCCGGCAGGAGGAATCTGCACCGCGCAGGAAGCCACAACCCATGCCAGGGCAAGACCAGGGGCGCCACGGTGGCTAGGAGATGTCAACTCCCTCGCCTGGTATACAGGAGTTCGTGTTGGTTCGATCCTGACCCTGGCGCCTGCTGTATATTTCGAGTTTACATGTTCGCCCCGTGGATGTTTGTCCATTCCCTTTGTCAACATGTTTCGAGTGATTGGCTGCTAGAAGTTCCCCCGTGATAAACCCCTTCGTTGAGCTATCACTTGTGGCTAGGTCGCTTCTGAAAACGAGATACTGGATAACTCTTAGTTTAGTATTTTTTTATAGGAGGTAAATGCTGATGGTCTGCACAGACTTACGAGGAACCCTCTTGCTATGCTGCCACCTACTGAACAAGCTGGAGACTGGCAGGCTTAAGGAAATGCAGATTGCGCACTCGCTGGACATACGCAAATATTCAGAAGTGCTAAACAGACTCCTGGGCCTTGACCAGGGGTCGGAAACCAAAATAACAAGAAGGGACATTTATTTTTTTCGAATTTGGTTAAAAAAAAAACCCTGAAAATTTCAAGAGCTGCAATGCACGTGAAAATACGAGACGGTGAGTCCTTAATAAATACCATCTCACAAAGCAGTCCTTAAAGAGCTGCACGCAGCCCCAGAGCCACAGGTCGCCGACTCCTGCCCATGACTAAATCTTGGGCGGACTCTCCGGCCTCGTGAGCTAAGCAGGGCTGGACCTGGACAGTGCTTGGACGGGTGACCGCCGTGCGCAAACAGGGATGTTGCCACCGGCTTGTGGGGTTACAGCGTGGGCAACGGGGTGGCAGTGCCGCAAAACCCGACGTTGTCATAAACTGCACTCCTACGCTGCACACATCTCGGCTCCACGGCTTCACCAACCCGCACCGGAGTGCAAAGGTGGCAGCAGCCTTCGCGCGTGGCCCCCCCCCCCCGGGCCCACCCCCCTGGCGACTGGACACGACCAAGGTCTCCGGGGTGGAACAACTCACCGACCGGAAGGCACCGGACGGCGCGGCGAGGTTCGTTCCCACAACCCCCCGCGTGACTCGCATGGTGCGGGCGGAGGGTCCTCATCCGGTAGTGGATTGACAAAAAAGGCGTGCACGCGCGGTGTAAGGTCCAGAGACTCGTGGTCAAGCCGCCCGTTTGACCATCGACCAGGTTTCCCGTGACATCGCGAGTCATGGCCTTGGAAAACGTACAGTCCGTTCTGCTGTAACGCGGGAGTTGTAGCGTTCCTGAAGAACAGCGCGTGATGGAAAAATCGCGTTATAATAAATAATATATAATATAGGGGTAAAGCACGGTCCACCATAACGCGTACGCAGGATGAACAAAGACTGAGGCACGTGCGGAGCATCTAGAAGCATCCAGCAGTATCCCACCTTGTGCGATGCCATGCCGAGGCAGCCGTAGGACTGCTTATTGCTACTCGCGCAACGTAGTTCCATTCACTAAAATCGCGTTACATCCAATTCCCATCGGCGTGATAAAAAAAAAGTGTTCCCTAATAGATTCAACTCGTTACATCCAATTCGCGTTATGAAAACTACGCGTTATAGGACGGACTGTACTTCCTCGTTCAAACGAGGATGGGGGGGCGACACTCTGCTGGTAGCCCTGAGCCAGTGCTGTAAATTCCACATTACTGTGCCAGCGGGGAGGGCAGTCTTTCCGCAGGAGAAGCAAACACCTGCAATTAAGACGAAGGTCACGCGGTCATTGCGGCCCACGTCTGATGAAGCTGCACCTCACCATCGCCCCCTTATGCCGCTAAAACCTTCAGCAGTTGCAGTGGGTATCTGATCTCCAGGACCTGCTCCGACAGTCTCACCACCACCACCACCGCCACCGCCACCGTCTGGCTTTAGGTCTTCTCTTCCTTGAGGTCTCGATAAGCTGCCCCGCCCTCCACCCCGCACACGTGTCTCACCCACCACAACCTTCACGCCCTCTTCCTCCTGATCACATCAACAGAGCTCTCCTACCGCGGTCTATTTCCACACATGTGTGGCAATACGCCGCTAGCCAAAATGTTAACGAGATGCCCTGACTGCAGGAAGGGAGTAGGTGGTCTCCATCTACCTCCATTAGTCTACGATCTCCATAGGTAATCAAAAAAATCAATTGATACGGAGAACGTGACAAAATCAATGAGTAGACAATTCACCTCCTTCCAACATATGTCCCTGAATGTACAAATATAACAGGATTTTCACATATCCCATCAGCCACACAACCCATCAGTCACACAACCCATCAGTCACACGGCCCTCTGAGAGTACAATAATTTCAGCAGCATTGGTTCAACATTCAGTGTCTCATAAGCATTGGAGGCTCTCTTGATCCAATGCTGCCATCAAAGCCGCATGGCCGGTGTGCCCTCGAATCGTGCGCAGTCGCGTGTTCGCGTTCCCAGCCGCGCCGCTTTGCGTTCACCCACGTCGCTTACCACGTCCCACCCTGCAATTCCCCCAGCGTGCCGTGCGCGCAAAACCGGCAGCAGCAGTAACGGCAGCAGCAGCAGCAGTAACGGCAGCAGCAGTAGCAGTAACGGCAGCAGCAGCAGTAACGGCAGCAGCAGCAGCAGTAACGGCAGCAGCAGTAGCAGCCGGCGACGACGACGACGACAAAGCCGCGAGCGGACGAACCTGCATGGGGCTCCGCCGGGGTGTTCCCCAAGCCCAGCAGGTCGGCTTCCTGGCCCCACGACCTCGACGCTGACGCCGTGGCGTCCCGCCGGGCAGACCACACCGACTCCAGCGATTCGAGGTCCATGAGGTTGTCCGCGATGATGAGGGGCGCCGCAGCGGACGAGGCGGCACGTGAGGGTGCGGGAGGAGGAGGGGGGGGGCAGCCCAGGCCGAGCAGATCGGCCTCGGCCACCGCGCCGCACGCCATTTTTTGGCGGTACGGTGCCGCCCAGAGGAAGCCGTCGACGGGAGAAGCACAGCTGTCCTGTTTGCGGACTGCGGACAGACGCACGCACGCACGCGGTTCCCATGCACAAGCGTACAGATATGCGCACGTGTACAGGCGTGCGTACGCACGTACGGATGTGCGTGCGCACGTAGAGACATGCACAGACGCGGACAAAGGTCCTTGTTGAATTTGTACTTCGTATTTATTTTTTGTGATTTGCTTACCTTTCCTATACTTTGCATTCCTATCAGTTTTTGTCTCCTTTGTTGTTGTAATTTTCTGACCCCATGCCCCGACTAGACATCTGTGAAAATGTGCGAGTCACTGACCTGCGATGGCTTTCACCGTCTCAGTTAAGAAGGTCTCCGTGTCGAGGTTCGCAGGCATCTCTAGTACGAGCTCCTCCCCTCCACTGCTGCAAGACACCTTCATCGTGTTCGCTACAAAGACAAGACAAAGATCCCCCGTATAGCCTTAACAGACTGTTGGGGCAAGTGCTGTGAGCGATTAGCACCCATGAAGGCCAGAACGGCACACAATGGGAGTGGGTGGCTAGCACAACACCCGGCTGACTTTGTCTCCCAAGTGAAAATGTTTACATATCACACGAAGTAATCATTTGAGGCAGAGTCGACCTAAGGGAGGCCCAGAACCGGTTCAGATAATCGGCACTGGTGTTGGCCATGAACGGGAATCGAACTCGGGCGGTCAGGTTCGTAGCGTAGCGCGCTAACCGCTACACTAACGCTCCGCAAGCACGCGCACGTACGCCCAGCGTCTGAGAGAGCCGTGACAGTATGTACAGTACGTGTGTGGAATTTCTTTCTCACCATACATAGCCAACTGTGCTCATCAGCGGTGCGGGTTAACCCTTCCCGTTCCAAGATGTCTGCAAATTGCACGGTGGGTCTCCCGTTCACCGCTGAAGCACAGAACACGCAAGCGGCTCAGCGTGAATTGTATTTAGAGGCGTAGTAGCGCCGTTGTCTTTAAAGACATTGTTACTCGCCGCAGCGAACTGTAGCGACACGACCATCGCACTTTACCACAACTGGAGTCTCAGTACCGATAGTTACTTAATTTAAAAAACTCATGACGTACACGTACGTCATCGGAACTGGAAAAGGTTAGCCACTGGGTCAGCGCTCCACCCCATCTCGTTACAAGTTCATGGTCAAACAAGGGGCGGGAGACGCATCCTCAACGGGCTCTCAACAGGCACCAAGGTGGCTAGGAGATGTTAACGACCTCGCCTGGTATACAGGAGGACGTGGATTCGATCTCCACCCTGATGCCTGCTGTGTATTGGAGTTTGCGGTCTCTCTCTCACATCATCGTCACGGTGGTTAGGAAATGTTAACTATCTTGCCTGGTATACAGGAAGTCGAGGGTTCGATCCTGACCCTGACACCTGCTGAATATTTGGAGTTTGTGTGCTTTCCCCCCGTGGTCGTGTGTATTCTACTCAGGGTCCTCTGTTTTTTCCCTCCACATTTAGAATCAACATCACGTGTTTAGAGTATTTGGCTGCTATACATATCCATGTGATGATGATAAGCCACTTCGTTGAGCTATCATTTGTGGCCAGCTCGCTTCTGAAAAAGAACTAAGCAGTTTAGTGGGCCTCTTCTGGTAAGATAAAAATAGTTAATTTAATTAGTTTTTAATTTCGGTAGCCCGCTCCTCACTGGGCCGTCACAGCGAGTCCCTGCCCGAGCGAGCACCGCGGCATTGGCGCTCATCTTCAACGTGCAACCCTGAGCCATTGGTGGAAGTTCCACGTTACTATGGCGAGGATGAGTCCCACCGCTGTTGAATTTCCCACAAAGTGGTACTGGTTTTATTTACCCTTCAAGGGATGATGATTCGACGACAAACCAGGGTGTGAACTCGCAAACTTCCGATTGGAAGGTTGGCAGCTCGCTGGTCGATTTGTTTAAGATCCGATATCACGATTGTCTCGGATTCAATATCACGATTGTCTAGGATTCAATATCACGATTGTCTAGGAATTGACATCATGATTGTCTAGAATCTGATATCACGATTGTCTAGGATATTATATCACGATTGTCCCATGCAGGTAGAACAGAACGTACGACTAACCTAAGCCCCGAAGGTAAAATAAGCAACAATATTGGTTTATTTTATTATATTCTCCACAACGACAACAATGACTAGGCTGCTATAAATTTCCACATGATGATAAGCCACTTAGTTGATCCATCATTTGTGGCCAGGTCGCTTCTGAAAAAGCGCTATATAGCTCAGTGGGCCTTATCTGGTAAAATTAGAAAGTTTAGTTAAAGAGATTATCTTGTGGGAGTCATATCTGCTCTATATCCACACGACCTCCACACTACCCAATAGGTGGGCCACCACACGTCCTCCGCTTTACCCAATAGGTGGGCGACCACACGTCCACACGACCTCTGCGCTACCCAATAGGTGGGTGACCACACGTCCTCCGCTTTACCCAATAGGTGGGTGACCACACGTCCACACGACCTCTGCGCTACCCAAATGCACAAGAGACACAGCGCCCGCGCGACTCCCGCACCTGGTCTCCTCTCACCGCCACGGTAAGGGCGGGTCGCAGTTCTGAAGCTAGACACAAGGATACCATGCTTGACATAACCCATCATCCCTCCAGGGTCGATACAGAGAGTACCGCTAAACAGTGGTTTTCCTACGGAGAGACTTGCCAGCGCCGTAGGGACGTGGAACTTCCACCACTGACTCTGCCAGGAGATAAGCACGGATGCCTCAATGCTCATTCGAGTGGGAAATCGCTTTGGGCTTGACGAAGCTTGCATTGGCGAATAAATATCGCGTGTACGAGCGGCTGCACTGCGGGGGGCCTCATGGAGTTGTGGGCCGCATGAAGTGAAGTTGTGGGCCGTGTCTGGCCCACCTTGTCGCAGGTTCCCCGTCCTACATGAGATGAACTGCTATGAAATGTGTCAATAGACAGACCACCTCTAGTTATGAGCAGGCAAGAGCCTGCTGTGAACAAGTATTGACTGCGAGGGAAACCTAGGTTTAAATAATAATCACCTATAATTTACAGGCCTTTGTCAATCCACCGCTGGATGAAGGCATCCCCATGCCGTGCCAGCTATGGGAGATGTTTGACCAGCTATGTGAGATGTTTAACCAGCTACGGGAGATGTTTGACCAGCATGCTTCACTGTGCTGTTCAGAGCGGGCTGGTGGACGGAAGGGGAGCCAAGACCGGAACAGACATCACTCACTCGACGTGAATGGGAATCAACATCAGGTTGCTGGCTGCATCGTGCCATGCGCGAACCACTGTGCCACCACTCCCCATTCCTCGCCTCATCTCAGGTTAAAATACAGAAAATGTAAATGTGTATTAAAAACATAAAACAACACCAATTCCACACCTTCACACATGATTGAAACTTAAAGATGAAAGAATACATTTTCAAGAGTATCAAGCGTTTATCACAAGGGTCACCACACACGTTGTGCACACACTCCCGTTGTTCCTGTCATGACCCTCCGGACCCTCTCTTCGTGGGAACCCAGCGACTGCTGGGACAAGTCCCTGCAAAGCCGACTCAATGAAAGCTCTTTGTTTTTTTAATTCTCATTTGCCAAGTAGAAGCCTCGGGGCCTATAACACCGAGCGTCAGCCACAAGAGAAGTTACCTCTGTCAAAAATACCTGCCCAGGCACTCCTTGCTAGGCCTTGCTCCTTGCTCTGCCTTGCCCCTTGCTAGGCCTTGCCCCTTGTTAAGCCTTGCTCCTTGCTAGGCCTTGCCCCTTGCTAGGTCTTGCTCCTTGCTAGGCCTTGCCCCTTGCTAGGTCTTGCTCCTTGCTAGGCCTTGCCCCTTGTTAAGCCTTGCTCCTTGCTCGGCCTTGCCCCTTGCTAGGCCTTGCTCCTTGCTAGGCCTTGCTCCTTGCTAGGCCTTGTAGGCCAGAAACTACAGCGCCTACTGAGAGCGGAATACTCACAAGAGCCTATGAGATCTCCTTTACCAGTGGCAAAATATAGTAATAGGTTTTTACCCTTTCAACTGGTACAAAAACTGACACCTTTATACAAGGAATCATGATTGCAATAACCACAACACAAGCAGTCAAAATGCAAACAAAAAGAAACAACTCTGATAATGATATGCACTGTCCTTGAAGTTGATTGGTCCACACCCAAGACAGCTTTTCTTAGAGCCTAGTCTCCATTGGTGTTGGACCAGATGACGCCAAAAGACGTACAACTCAAAAACAGAGCACTATCAGAGTATTGAGAGCTCGGGGTAAGCATTAACACTATGAGATCTCCTTTACCAGTGGCAAAATATCGTAATAGGTTTTTACCCTTTCAACATGTTTGCAAACATGATTCCTTGTATAAAGGTGTCAGTTTTTGTACCAGTTGAAAGGGTAAAAATCTATTACTATCACAAGAGCCTATTTATTGTCACGTGTTTTCCCAGGAGTCATTGTTAATGAGCATTTTTTCATGCGAGAGAAACCTGGAGTGCCTAGAGAAACCCCACACATTCAAGAAGATAACCCTCACAGGTTCGCACAGCCTGGCTGTTTGTAAAAAAATAAAAGTATCCTACTCACGAACGGGGATAACAATGCTGCAAAACAACCGAGAATCACAGCACACGGCAGCAGTGGTGGCTGGTAATGAGAAAGCAGGCCTGGTGGAAATGTGAAACTAATCAAGCTATACAAGTACATTTCAATTGATAAGTTTTAAGTATTTTTTTAATTACAAGTTCACTTTCAACAGCCTTTGCGATGGAGCATCTCAATGGTGGCCACACATAGCAAACAGGCGGTGACACGTGTCCACACCTCCATTATACACACACCTATACAAACTCATACATACACATGTACATAGCAAACAGGCGGTTACACGTGTACACACCTAGATTATACACATACCCCCATACAACTCATACATACAAACGTACATAGCAAACACGTACTGACACGTGTACACACAAAGATCCCCGTGTAGCCTTAAGAATTGGGGTCAGTGCTGTGAGCAAGCACATATTACGGCTGGCATGGCAAATGAGGGGTTGGGTGGCCAGCACCACGCCTGGCCACCTTTGTCTCCTGAGTGGCGATGTTTACACATCGTAACAGGTACTCATTTGAGGTTGATTCGACCTAGGGGAGGCTCAAGACCGGTTCAGATAATCGTCACACTGGTGTTGGCTGTGAGCGCGAATCGAACTCGGGGTACCGGATTTTGGAGCTCAGTGCGCTCACCACAGCCCCCCACACACACGCAAGACAGCACGTTACGACACGTATATACACGCAATGTATATCTATCACTTATACAGTGCGCATTTACACAGTAAGCATTTATAGAGTGACTATCACACCCAATCAAACACATGAGTAACAAGTAACACACACAAAAACACATTAGCCCATAACAGTGGCCTTCAAAAAATGTGCGACGGTTCAGGCGATGGTCCTTCTTCACAGCACAGAGGCTAAAGTGGTCGTCTCACAAAGTCAAAGATCCCCCGTATAGCTTTAACAGACTGTTGAGCCAAGTGCTATTAGCAAGCACTTATAAGGCCGGCACGACACACGAGGAAGTGGCTGGCCGGCACCACACCCAGCCGCATTTGTCTCACCAGTGGCGATGGTTACACATCACACCAAGTACTCATTTGAGGCTGAGTAAACCTAGAAGAGGCCCAGGACCGGTTCAGATGTTGGCCGTGAGCGGGAATCGAACTAGGGTTGCCGGGTTCGTAGCGCTAACTGCTACACCACCGATACCCACCGCCTTGTCACACATACAACTGCAACAGCTATAATCCTTGCACAATTGTGTTTTAATTGCCTATGACACAGTGGTGCACCTCCGATTAGCACGGTTGGCTATGTACGGTGCGCGTGCCTTCCTGCTGCCAATTACGGTCACATTCAGTTGGGATCTCGTTGGAGGGGATTCGCAACACACGATATGTGTTCCATTCATCTCAATTAAAACACTCCAGTCATGACGTTCCGCTGATACGTACGTACCTCTATTCGTCCTTGGTCCAGTCTCTTCTGCAAGAAAACAACATCAGTGTTCAGCCATCGGGAAAATCTCTTCATCTATCGTAATCATAAGCGATCAATCAATTAATTAACCACTCGTTTTGTCAACCCACTCCTGGATGATGAAGGCCTCCCCCACACACCAGTCACAGAGGGGTGATTGGCCATACTTCACCACGTTGGTCAGTGTGGGATGAAGGGGGTTGGGCAGCCATGGTGGCGAGATTTTAACTACCTCGCCCGGTATACAGGAGGTTGTGGGTTCAATCCCAACCCTAACGACTGTATATTTGGAGCTTTAAATCAAAATGTATATTTGGAGTTTGCATGTCTCTCTCTTCCTGTGGTCGCATGGATTTTTCTCCGTGTCCTGCGGTTTTTCCATCCACATTTAGAATCAACACGCGTTTAGAGTATTTGGCTGCTATACATTGCCACATAAGCCGCTTCGTTGAGCTATAATTTGTGGCCAGGTCGCTTCCGAAAATTAGCTATATAGCTCAGTGGGCCTTACCTGGTAAAATAAAAAATAGCTCCGTAGCGAAGTGCGTGGGAATATCCCAAGTGTACAAGGGGATTTAAAAGGGTGTTCACGTCTTACTCCTTAAAACGTATACGGGGACAGTGCTCCTCTGAGCTATTGGTGGAAATTCCACGTTCCCTTAGTTGAACAACCAACTCGTCAAAGAGTAGTGCCGATTTTTATTGACCCCAGATGGATGATGTGACACGTCAACTCCAAACCGGGATGTGAAATCAACCAAGTTGACCAGAGGGTCACGTGGGCAACAGCTCTCAACAATCAGAACAGTTAGGCCGGCACCCTGCTCCCTGTGCTGCTATCTAATCTACACACGCCTGCGCAGACAGTACAGCGACAAATACCCTCCCCCCCCCCCCCCGTGTAGCCTTTAACAGACTGTTGGGCCAATTGCTGTTAGCGAGTAACACCTACGAAGGCCGGCACGGCACACGATGGGGTGGGTGGCCAGCACCATGCCCGGCCGCCTTTGTCTCCCCAGTGCTGCTGTTTAGACACTGCACCAGTTACTCATATGTGGTGGAGTCGACTCCGGAGAGTCCCAGTACCGGTTGAGATAGCCGTCTCTGGCAATGCCCGCGAGCGGGAATTGAACTCTGGCTGTAAGCGGGTTCATAGCGCAGCGTGCTAACCGCTGCACCGCTGCTCCCCAGTGCACGGACACAATACACAAGACACGCACGCACAGCGCCACCACCAAACAGAACATTCGCTCGCATGCGCATCTTTACACGCAGCACATCGTCTGCGCGGATGCTTAAGAAGCGCGGTCACTGGCGCTTTGCGAGTAGAAGCGACGGCGGGTAGACCAAGCCAAAACCTCACCAGCGGAGAGCGAGAAGGAGCCGTCGACCGGCATCAGCCACTCCAGTCGCAGCGCCTTGCTCCCCGGCAATGTGTGGTTGAGCGAGTAGACGAAGAGCCTGCGACAAACGGCGGGTGGCACGCCGTGATGCTACAGGCAGCGGCAGCACAGCAGCGGCGACACACGTACCTCATGCCAGCGAGGGTTCTGTGTTCGACTCCCGGCTCGGGTGTGACGTGTGGAGTTTGTACGTTCCCTCCCCCCTGATCTGCGTGGGTTTGTTTCACCCCCGGGTTCTCTGGTTTCCTCCCATAGCTAAAAAAATACCGCACAATGTAACCAGCATTGACCATAACATCGCAATGCTAAAATTCATACAAATTACTCAACTGGGAGTCTTAAGACTCAGTGAGGCTTTCCTGGGCAACAAAGCACCTCCGATTAGCACGGGTGACAGTCCAAAATAAATTCAACATACATACACACAAGCGTACTAATAAAGCCAAACTAACAATTTGTAAATCATCATCATAATCAGCAGGCAGCCATAATTAACCCACCGCTGGATGGAAGCCTCCCCTAAAGAAGGTGACACACGGTGACACGGCAAGACACGGGTGGTAGCTGGTGGCACGGTGTCAGAACTCACGCATGCTTGTCCCCGGAGCACACCAGGGCGCACACGTGGGAGTCCTGCCCGCCGAGCTTGGAGGCCTTGGTTGCGTGCGCAAACATTAAGGAGCACACAGCATCCCTCACCAAAGACGAAGATCACGCCCCCCCACCCCGTGTAGTCGTAACAGACTGCTGGGGCAAGTGCTGTTAGCGAGCACCTATGAAGGTCAGCATGGGTGGGTGGCCAACACCACGCCCTGCTGCCTTTGTCTCCCCAGAAGCGATGTTTGCACATCGCACCAGGTCCTCATTTGAGGCTGCGTCGACCTAGGGGAGGCCCATGACCGTGAGTGGGAATCGAATTCGAGTCTCTGGGTTCGCAGCGCAGCGCTAACCGCAACTCGACCGCTCCCCACACACCACCACCACGACCAGCAGCACCGCAATCACTCCCCACACACCACCACCACGACCTGCAGCACCACAATCACTCCCCACACCACCACCACCACGACCTGCAGCACCACAATCACTCCCCACACCACCACGGCCTGTAGCACTACAATCACTCCCCACACCACCACCACCACCACGACCTGCAGCACCGCAATCACTCCCCACACCACCACCAACACCATGACCTGCAGCACCGCAATCACTCCCCACACCACCACCACCACCACGACCTGCAGCACCGCAATCACTCCCCACACCACCACCACCACCACGACCTGCAGCACCGCAATCACTCCCCACACCACCACCACCACCACGACCTGCAGCACCGCAATCACTCCCCACACCACCACCACCACCACGACCTGCAGCACCGCAATCACTCCCCACACCACCACCACCACGACCTGCAGCACCGCAATCACTCCCCACACCACCACCACCACGACCTGCAGCACCGCAATCACTCCGCACACCACCACCACCACGACCTGCAGCACCGCAATCACTCCCCACACCACCACCACCACGACCTGCAGCACCGCAATCACTCCCCACACCACCACCACCACGACCTGCAGCACCGCAATCACTCCCCACACCACCACCACCACGACCTGCAGCACCGCAATCACTCCCCACACCACCACCACCAACACCGACTGCCACCACCTTAACGTTGCACAGCGGCAGCCCATTTAATCAATCCACTGCTAGATGAGGGCCTCCAATCCTCAACTAAACTAATTTGTGTATTTAACCAGGTAAGGCCCCTTTGAGCTATGCAGCGCTTTTTCAGATGCGACCTGGCTGCACAAATGATAGCTTAACGAAGAGGGTTATCATCATGTGGACATTTATAGCAGCCAATTACTCTAAATGCGTGATGTTGATTCTAAACGTGGAGGGAAAAACGAAGAAAAGTCCACGCGACGACAGGGAGTAAGGGTCGGGATCAAACCCACGCCCTCCTGTCTACCAGGCGAGGTAGTTAACATCTCCTGGCCACCGCTGCGCCCTGCCAGATGAAGGCCCTCCAATCCACTGCTGGACGACAGTTTCCCCGCACCTTGCGGGACGTCGGGGTCGTTTGACCATACTTCACCGCGTGGGTCAGTGCGGGCTGAAGGAGCGCGGTGGGGCAGAATGAAGGGATGCTGCTGCTGCGCTGCCCTCGACTGCCCGCCGCAGAGCCTATAACACCTGTCTGTCGAGCATCGCGGTGGCCCCTCCAAGCACCGTCCAGGCTCAACCCGACTTAGCTTCCGAGCTTTGTCGAGATCGGGCGCATTCCGGCGTTACCCATCATCGAGTGTCATGCACTTCCTGCTGGAGGCCAGCCAACCGAAACGTCGAGATGTCACTCATTTTCTCTGCGAGCGCAACAATAATATCACTTTCCTCTTGGCCTGCACTGCCATGGAGCCTGTTACCCCAGGGTAACCTAATCAGGGCAAACCACCAATGTTGTTAACCTTGTGGTGGTTAAACCGTTGTAGCCTACGGGCTTAACGCCGAGGTAACCTCACGGGGTAACCTGTCACAGTAGCCAGTGTACACGTGGCCAGGATAGCCTATCAGGGCACAACTCGTTATATAATGTCAAGCGGAGCCCGCGAAGTTACCCCAGAGCAGTCCACGTGGGATGTGAACCCGTGTGGATGTTAACACGAAGTGTCAGGGTAATGAGGTTAAGCCGCATCGGGATAACTTCCGTGTACTCGACATCATGCCCAGATCACCGTTACCTCGTTACCCCTGGCAAGGCCATCAAGGCTTTCAGGATCTGTATTGATCCCTGGAGGAATCCGATGAGCTATGAAGCTCTTTGTTTCATGGACGTCCAATTTGGGGGCGCGTCAGCAAGTTACAACAACAAACACCCCGGGTAAGCCCGTGGTAACCCGTGGCCGCGGTTGCCACGGGTTACCAGGGGGTAACTTGTGTTGCCCTCGGTTTCCAGGGGTAACCGGCGTTGCCCTGGGTTACCTCGGCGGGTCAACCCCGCCGCGCGTCGTGCTGGAAGGATATGGCGAGGCACCGCGCCGCTCCGCTCAGCGTCGCCTTCACGAGCTCCATCGCGGCGCCCTGCCGCGCTGCCTCCACCCCACCCGGCAGCAGCAGCAGCAGCAGGAGCAGCAGCAGGAGGAGGAGCAGCAGCAGCAGGAGCAGCAGGAGGAGGAGGGGAGAGGAGCAGCAGGAGGAGGAGGCGAGAGGAGAGAGGTTGAGGCGAGAGGAGAGAGGTTGGAGCCTCTAGTCCGCTGCTCTCTCTCCCTGCGGGGACTCCGCTCTTCCTGGGGGTGCCCCGTGACGTCGCGGGGGCGGGGCGAGTGGCTTCAGGGGCGGGGCGTGTGGGGGGTGAGTGGTGGGGGGTGAGGTGTGGGGGGTGAGGTGTGGGGGTGACGTGTGGGGGTGAGGTGTGGGGGTGAGGAGGGGTGAGGGGTGGGGGTGAGGAGGGGTGAGGGGTGGGGGTGAGGTGTGTGGGGGTGAGGTGTGGGGGGTGAGGTGTGGGGGGTGAGGAGGGGTGAGGGGTGGGGGTGAGGTGTGGGGGTGAGGTGTGGGGGGTGAGGAGGGGCGGAGCGTGTGGGGGATAAAGAGGGGTGAGGGGTGGGGGGTGAGGAGGGGTGAGTGGTGGGGGGTGAGGTGTGGGGGGTAAAGAGGGGTGAGGGGTGGGGGGTGAGGAGGGGTGAGTGGTGGGGGGTGAGGTGTGGGGGGTAAAGAGGGGTGAGGGGTGGGGGGTGAGGAGGGGTGAGGGGTGGGGGGTGAGGAGGGGTGAGGAGGGGTGAGGGGTGGGGGTGAGGGGTGGGGGGTGAGGTGTGGGAGGGTGAGGAGGGGTGAGGAGGTCTGGTGAGTGAGGTTGAGTGACGAAGGTGGAGAGTTAACATGTGGGGTTGGGTGAGGTGAACTGATGGGCGAGGTGAACTGATGGGTGAGGAGCGGTGGGGTGTTGCTCTGCCTCCATTCTATCGGGGCCGTCCATAAATGACGTCACGCACCTAGGGGGGGTCAGACATTTGTGTCGATGTGTGACGAGGGGGGAGGGTTTGAGAAATGTGACGTCACATAAAATTGCGCAACTTTAAATAAATTTCAACAACACGTTCTACTTAATTAAATAGACTTGTTATAACAACACTAATTAGGATTAATTTTCATGATTAACTATTTGATTATTTAAATTTACTTTTATTCATTCCATGAAGGAGCATTTTGCTTCTCCATGGGAGAATGGAGAAACATACATTTTGTAAATTTGTTGAATGATTGTTATTAAACATTTCGATTTTAATTATTCTACCAGGGCTTTTCATTCTGTGGAATGAAAATGTGATTGTTATAATTGTACTCTCCATTTTGTTTCGTTCTATTACAAAGTTTCAAGTATTTTTATAGTTATAATTACTTACAATTTTTTATAATTATAAGAGAATTTCAATATAATATTCTGAACATCTGCAGTTTTAGTTAGACGTTGAATATTTTCAAGTGAATGTTATGCTAAATTTCAGCTTTCCAACGCCTCCTGTTTAATATTTGTTTTCTCCTACATCAGAGTGTATTGCCACATTAAATACGCACTACAATGACAATAGTTTAAAGTGATTTGAAGCGTGTTTTATTTTCAAAATGGAAATATGGTTTGGGGGGGGGGGGGGCAGAGCTTTGTGACGTCAAATTTGAGGGGGGTCTGACTTTTTGTGACGCCGTGTGACGAGGGGGGGAGGGGGGTCAAAAAACGGCCAAAATCGCGTGACGTCATTTATGGACGGCCCCATACTCTACAAAGACAAATATCCCCCGTATAGCCTGTAACAGACTGTTAGGGCAAGTGCTGTTTGCAAGCAGCTATGAAGGCCGGCACGGCACACGAGGTGTTTGGTGGTCAGAACCACGCCCGAGCGCCTTTGTCTCCTCCGTGGCGATGTTACCACACTGCACCAGGTCTTCATTTGAGGCTGAGTCGACCTAGGCGAGGCCCAAGACCCGCTCAGGTAACCGCCACCGGTGTTGTTCCGTGGGCGGGAATCGAACTCGTTGTCGCCGGGTTCGTAGCGCTAAATTCACGACGGTGTTGAGCGTCTTACATCAGCGCGCCCTTCCTTGCCGTGACATTCCGAGCGGAGAGACGAGGTCACGCCTACGTGGGGGCTATCCTGTTGGGGTGGAGGCCGGTAACACATTCACCTGCAAATGTCAACGATGTTGTGCGTGACCACCCACCCCGTGCACGATCGCAGGCGCTACAAATTCAGCGACGGCGGCGGCCGCGGCCGAGCGTGCGAGCTGCCGTGGGGTCAAGAGGCTGGGCACGGAGAGGTGGCTCGCGATCGGCGGCATTTATTAGTATTGTTGTTGTTCTTCACGCTGCGATCTCAACACGCACTACATGTGCAGTCACGGTGCCGTACAGTACGCGTGTGTGTGTGTGTATACGCATACCTGTCAACCCATACGGTTTACCCCGTAGTTCATGTGCAGGAATAATTGAGTTTTCAGGTCCATACGGCATACAGCCGTTTCAATATGGGCAAAATATTATTTTTTGTCTATATATGTGTGTTTCTCCCTCCTGATGGGACTTTGTAGGATGAACGGTGAGAAATATAACGGCACGGGGTGACCAATAAGGTCTGAATTGGTGTGTAATAAGGTGGGGGCACTGATAAGAGGTTGACAGGTATGTAATTACAGGTACGTGTACGGGAGGCATTGCACCACGCGTCGACAGGTCCGGTGACATTCGGCCTCCTACGTCCCGCCCGCTCAGTGGCACTCCAACAGGTCTCGTGAAAAAAGCGACAAACCTCTCGACCCCCTTGTTACTCCGAACGCCGCCGACGCCGCACAGAACACCACCAACACCTACGCCGAGTGGGCAATGTCTGCAACAACGCACTATTTGTGTACAGCATAATATGTACATAAAATCATAGATTACCTGCGATAAATATTGCAGTTAACACCTAACACCTCGTGGGTTTGCCACTCCCGTGCCCGCTGCCCTTCCACCCTGCTGCACCAGCGTGCCCTAAAGAGGCCATTGTTGGCACTCGGTCAAGGGTCGGCAGTTTTGATATTAACCTCCGCCGAGGGTCGGAAACCAAAAAATAACGAGAGCCATTTTCTTCAAATTCGGTTGCATACGAGACGGTGATTCCCATAAATCAGGGATGGGGAACCTTTTTTCTGCCATGGGCCATTTGGATATTTATAACATCATTCGCGGGCCATACAAAATAATCAACTTGAGAATTTGCCTGTTATATTTGGTCAAACATTTAATTAACTCGCCCCTAATGCGATGGCTGGAACTGCTTCTCTTTGGTGAGGCGTGTGATGTTCGCTGGTATTGATGATGTTGCTACTTGCAAATGCTTTTCCAGGTTTGCTCCTAGATTTATTAAATTTCGAGTCCCGCCTGCGGTTGCCTTGGCAAGGCCACACCAAATGATTCCGTGGGCCTTATACGGCCCGCGGGCCGGACGTTCCCCACCCCTGCCATAAATAAATAACGTGAGCTGCCGGTTTGCCGACCCCTGACCTAGTTCCATCGTCAGCACCGCCCAAGTACCCTGTGACAAAGCTCAGTACGGCAACGCCGGTACCACATCTCGGTATAAATGGCGCCAATTTCAGGAGTCTTCGGCTCAATCCTGGAAAGGTGGTGGACACTTCTTCCACCACCGCCGGTGCACCCTCGTGTCGGGAGCCCCGTCGGTGACTATGACGAGGCTCAGCACTGAGAGTTAATCGTGGCGCGTCGGCTTCTCTGCCCTCCGACGTCAACACCGAACCGTCGCTCGAGGAACGCACGCCAGCTCGATCACAATATATATGTAAAACCACATATTTGACCATGCTGAATACATATACGTACCCACATACGCTTTTCACTCTACAACCCATGTTGTGTGCAATACATAAAGTAGCGAGCCCATTTCATCGGCGGAGTACGACAACGTGAATTCCGTTTAACACGTAGAATAACTTGAATTCCATCGGCCATCGGCAACGCTTTGCCGGATCCAGGAGAGGCCCTGTTTGCCGCTTCCTCGCTTCTCCCGAGCCTCGGCCGCGTCCGTCTTCTCGACGTTGAGAAGAAGCGTTCGGGGTGGAGGGGCGGCTTCCTCAAGGGCCCGAGCAGCCTCGGCTGGCCGCAGTCCCGACGTTGTCCCCCGCGTGTCGTCATCGCCGCATCGTCTTCCCGCGTCGTCGTCCCCCGCGCAGAGTGGCTCACATCTCGTTAACGCTGATCACCGGGGCCACCGTCACGTGCTGAGGACAGAGACCGCCAACCCACAGCATAGACGGATGGCATGCGACAGAACACGCGCGCGTACACTTGCTGGTGCTCACGGGGAAATAAACCAGTGGGGATGGAGTAAAACTGTTGCGCCACACGAACAGAAACGTCGATCGGGAGGTCACGTGCAGTGCGGAAAAAAGTCAACTCCCCTCTAGAGTGCCCTCTCGTGGAGGATTTTCCGACAGCAGTGGCGTCATCGAGCAATTGGAGAGCTGCGCCTTTTTCTTTTAACCGAGTAATGAGGGCAAACGCAGCACAGCGTGACTTAGGCTGCCGTGCGGTTTTTGTTTAGTTCGTGTGAGCCAATCTGTGCGTTCATGACCGGCATTCCACTGGAATTGGAATCAGTTATGGGGTCCCGGTTCTCCAGAAACTGAAGTTCCCGGTACCTCGAGCGAAACGTCGGACATCGTGCCTAACAACGTGAGGTACAATCAGAGCCGGTACGACCAGGGATGGTATAATCAGGTATGGTATGACCAGGGTTGGAAATGAGAAGAAATTATTTGGGGAGCTTAAACATTGCCATGCCCGTTTCAGCAGCACATTCACTTAAAATAATACAGCAGTGTTTTACGTGAGGTATATTCACAGACAACGGTGTGAGTGTTCTCCTCCTCCTCCCACATGCTCCTTGGGAGCTCCAGAGCATGATGGACGGATGCTGTGAAATACACCTCTACACAACTACACTACCCATCCCGCAGACTACACTCATCCCGGGTCCCACCCGTAATGAGGTAGACAGTCATGTTCGGACTTTCATTCCCACCACCACCACCAACTACAGCGTACGGTTGGCCCCAGTTCTACCCCCATGGGTACAACCGGAACGCGCGATGGGAGAGTGTTCCGGTGTGCGCGCTGCGGAGGATACGAACCTTGCCGTGCAGTGGCTCGGAGGGGGCGGCCGCCACCGCTCGAGCCGGCAGTGCTGGCGGTGCCGCTGACGGTGGCGGCAGCAGCGGTACCTCCGTGGCCGCCTGCTTGTCATGGTAAGTCCGCACAGAGTCGTTGTCCTTGATGAGGTCGTACTGCCGGCAGAAGAGGCCGATGACCGCTGTGGGGGCGGGAGGAGAGAAGGATGCACGTGGAGCGTATGGGCGACGGACAGTGCTGGGTGGGTCGTTAACTTTAGCAAAAAGAGATTGGCCTAATTACCAATTGCCCGTGGCTTCATGAGTAACACAAATGCCACGGACTAGTTTCTGAATTGGTAAAAAGTCAAGAATCCAATAATACAGGTGTTTTGGGTTAGCTCGCATAGATATAAATGTGTCGCTAAACCCGCTAAAACTACTTCAGCACACCGGTGTGTTGGAGAGTAAAATATTTAATTATACATTTATAACCCAAAACACCTTTATTATGGATAAAATTGGTCGCAAAAGCCTACGTGTTAAAAAGTCATGAACCATGTTTAAAGTGATAAAATGGGATAACATGTCTCTCGTTTATTCACTGGCCGTAATCATGTCGATGACATTCAATGTTGATCCTTCTTCAAGGGAGCAAATTCCTTGACGTGGAAAAGACGCCTGAGGGCCGTGCAGACCCGAGTGGCCCTAATCCCTGGACAGGAGGCACCCCAATCCAGGTTCCCTTCAACCTAAGTGGCCCTAGCCCTGGAGAGGGGGTACCCCAATGCAGGTTCCCTTCAACCTAAGTGGCCCTAGCCCTGGACAGGGGACACCCCAATCCAGGTTCCCTTCAACCCGAGTGGCCCTAGCCCTGGACAGGGGCACTCCAATGCAGGTTCCCTTCAACCCGAGTGGCCCTAGCCCTGGACAGGAGGCACTCCAATGCAGGTTCCCTTCAACCCGAGTGGCCCTAGCCCTGGACAGGAGGCACTCCAATGCAGGTTCCCTTCAACCCGAGTGGCCCTAGCCCTGGACAGGAGGCACTCCAATGCAGGTTCCCTTCAACCCGAGTGGCCCTAGCCCTGGACAGGAGGCACTCCAATGCAGGTTCCCTTCAACCCGAGTGGCCCTAGCCCTGGACAGGAGGCACTCCAATGCAGGTTCCCTTCAACCCGAGTGGCCCTAGCCCTGGACAGGAGGCACTCCAATGCAGGTTCCCTTCAACCCGAGTGGCCCTAGCCCTGGACAGGGGGCACTCCAATTAAGGTTCCCTTCAACCCGAGTGGCCCTAGCCCTGGACAGGGGCACTCCAATGCAGGTTCCCTTCAACCCGAGTGGCCCTAGCCCTGGACAGGAGGCACTCCAATGCAGGTTCCCTTCAACCCGAGTGGCCCTAGCCCTGGACAGGAGGCACTCCAATGCAGGTTCCCTTCAACCCGAGTGGCCCTAGCCCTGGACAGGAGGCACTCCAATGCAGGTTCCCTTCAACCCGAGTGGCCCTAGCCCTGGACAGGAGGCACTCCAATGCAGGTTCCCTTCAACCCGAGTGGCCCTAGCCCTGGACTGGGGGCACTCCAATTAAGGTTCCCTTCAACCCGAGTGGCCCTAGCCCTGGACAGGGGCACTCCAATGCAGGTTCCCTTCAACCCGAGTGGCCCTAGCCCTGGACAGGAGGCACTCCAATGCAGGTTCCCTTCAACCCGAGTGGCCCTAGCCCTGGACAGGAGGCACTCCAATGCAGGTTCCCTTCAACCCGAGTGGCCCTAGCCCTGGACAGGGGGCACTCCAATGCAGGTTCCCTTCAACCCGAGTGGCCCTAGCCCTGGACAGGAGGCACTCCAATGCAGGTTCCCTTCAACCCGAGTGGCCCTAGCCCTGGACAGGGGCACTCCAATGCAGGTTCCCTTCAACCCGAGTGGCCCTAGCCCTGGACAGGAGGCACTCCAATGCAGGTTCCCTTCAACCCGAGTGGCCCTAGCCCTGGACAGGAGGCACTCCAATTAAGGTTCCCTTCAACCCGAGTGGCCCTAGCCCTGGACAGGAGGCACTCCAATGCAGGTTCCCTTCAACCCGAGTGGCCCTAGCCCTGGACAGGGGCACTCCAATGCAGGTTCCCTTCAACCCGAGTGGCCCTAGCCCTGGACAGGAGGCACTCCAATGCAGGTTCCCTTCAACCCGAGTGGCCCTAGCCCTGGACAGGAGGCACTCCAATGCAGGTTCCCTTCAACCTGCACTGACCAATGTGGGAAAGCTGTCAATTACTTGGGTATGCAGGAGGTCCTGGGTTCGATCCAAATGGGGGCTCTGGGCGGGTGCGAGGGGCTGGTAACCCCTCCACCTTCGATTAATTACCACAAAACCACGTCTAAAATATTTAATTGATAAGCTTGTACCGGAGGCCCCGGGGGGACAGGCGTCTATTACGCTTCCTGGCCAAACCCCATTTGGCGGAGCCAGGAGATTGAATATTTACCCTCGGGGCTCCTCCAGAAACAACAAAAAGCTACTTAGGGTGGCCACGTGGAATGTTCGAACACTCACTGCGGAGGAAAGGCTGCCACTCTGTCGGGAGCTGGACCGGTACCGCCTGGATATCGGTGGTATTCAGCAGGTCTGGTGGACCGGCTCTGGCTCCTGCCACCATGAGGGGTGAACAGTCCTCTACTCGGGGCAGGAGACCACCAAACAACAGGGAGTGGCTCTTCTTCTGAACAAAAGAATAAAGGGTGCGTGGGAGCGTGGCGGTGAGGTGTGGGAAGCGGTAAGCCCCAGACTACTTTGGGCTCGCCTTCCCATCAACCAGAGGCGAGGAGTGGTGGTCATGGTTACTTATGCTCCCACTGAAGACGAACATCTGTGGAGGGATGCAGGCAAGACCGATGAGTCAGATCGTTTCTATGACCTGTCACAGGTGCTAGCTAAAGTGACCCCTCGGGATAGAGTCATCCTGTTGGGCAACTTCAATGCCCGAGTTTGTCATGCTGGCACCTGGTCTGGAGTGATTGGAAGGCATGGGCCAGATCGGCTCAATAACAACGGGAGTAGGCTGCTAGATTTTTGTGCAGCCCATGGGCTTGTAATTACTAACACGCTGTTCCGGCATCGGCACATCCACACAACATCATGGATGCATGCCGGGTCCAAACAAGAACATCTGCTGGACTACGTAGTGACAGAACAGTGGATGCGGGCCCATTTCCTTGACACCAGGACCTACCATGAAGCTGATTTGCCCACTGACCATCGACTTGTCATCTGTAAGACCCCATTCAAACCCAAGGTGGCCTGGTCTCAGCTAGCTGATGAAAGTTGCAAGCGAGAATTGAATCATCGCTTGCGCCTGGGGTTGGCATCGTCCCCCACTCCTCTAGATGTCGAGGGGAAATGGGTGAGGTTTACGACTGTCATCGGCTACAGCATCCAACGTCAGAGAATGAGGAGGCTTACCGCAGCCTTCGCTCAGAGGTTCAGAGAGCCGTGAGGCGCTGCAAGGATGGGTGGTGGTCGCAGGTTGCTGAGGAAATGGAGTCTGCCTCAATGGCCCGTGATCACAAATTGCTATTTAACTCCATCAAAAAAGTAACCTGCAGCGCCACACCTATTACCATCATCAGGGGAAAAACGGTGATCCAATCTCTAACCCCCAGAAACAGGTTTGCAGATTTGCTAAGCAATTTTGTGAAGTCCTGGGGGAGGGGAAATCCCTCGGCATGGAAAACATCATGGGACAAAGTGGGGATAACCCTGCTGAGGCTGCGGTGTCTCAAATATTGGAAGAAGAAGCCACCCCCTGTGAGTGGCTGGCTGAGGTGCCATCTGTTGAGGAAGTACTAAAGGTGATCTAGAGTCTGAGACCAGGAGAGGCACCGGGCAGAGATGATCTCCCAAGCGAAATGCTGAGGGAGGGTGGCATTTGTTTACATACTGCCCTATATGACATCATAACAACAGTCTGGACCACTGGATGGGTTCCGCAGGATTGGAAAGATGCCCTGGTGGTCCCCCTCTTTAAGAAGGGGGACCGCACAGACTGTAACAACTACAGGGGCATCTCACTCCTCAGTGTGCCGGGAAAGGTTCTGGCAAGGATTATTCAACATCATCTTGCCAGGCACGCTGAGAGGCTTGCGGAGCCCCAATGCGGTTTCAAGAAAGGGCGGTCCTGCACAGATGCCATATTTTCTGTCCGTCTGCTACAGCAGAGGTCCAATAAAACCTATATCTCTGCTTTATTGACCTGGTCAAGGCCTATGATACCATCAGTAGGTATGGGCTCTGGGTTATTCTTCATACTTTCGGAGTCCCTGACCCTCTGCTCACGATAATTAAGGACCTTCATGATGGTGAGCGGGCCTGGGTAAAACTACGTGGCCGGGAGTCGGAACCATTCCCTGTTCACCTTGGGGTGCGACAGGGATGTCCTCTGGCTCCCACATTATTTAACATATATTTCGACCACGTCGTTCGTGAAGCCTTCGATGGCTGTACCGAAGGAATTTCCATCTGGTGCAGATACAATGGGAGGCTGATCGATACCCGGGTGCGGTCAAGGGATGGCTCGCTATTGGTCAACCACATTATGTCTGCCGATTGATCTGGTAGTTGCCACTCACTCAGAGGAGGAGTTGGAGGTGCTGCTGCTGAACTTGGAGCGTGCCACTAAGAGGTGGGGCCTTACCATCAGCCCCACCAAAACGAAGCACCTGCCTGGGTATTTTGTACAATCAGGCACTCCACCCCCACAACTCCCAATCGGTGACGGGGCAGTTGTGGAGAGTTGTGGAGAGTTTCCCAAACCTGGGCAGTGTGCTCATGACCTACTCCGGTTTGACAGCAGAGGTCTCACTCCGAATGAGTTGAGCGGCATTATCTTTTCATCGGTTGCGTAACGCTGTGTGGAAGCTACCTGGTCCGTCGCTCCACACGAAGCTTCAGGTCTTTTCGGCCACGGTCATTCCCTCTCTTCTCTACGCTTGCGAAACGTAGACCCCCCTAATGTAACATCTTCGCCGGTTGGAAACATTTAGGCTGGCCTGCGTACGGTCCATCCTGGGTTTAAACAGACTGGATTGTGTGAGGAGCTCACAAATCCTTGAAAGATCTGGATAAAGTCCCATCGGTGAGCTCCTCCGGCAGGCAAGGTTGCGTTGGCTTGGTCATGTCGCCCGCATGCCTAGTCACCGCATGCCTAAGCAGCTTT